ACACACACACACACACACACACACACACACACACACACACCAGAAATACAGACCTCTAGCATCAGTAGGACTTCATGTGTGACAAGATTCCAGTTATTTGCTGTTTCGATGTGCCAAATTGATGATAATTCAACATATATCGCAACAAGTCACATTTGAAATAAAACCTAAATGCGTAAGCTTGGAGACGGTGCAGCAACATCACGTCAGGTCAGCAACATCGTTCATGTCAGGTCAGCAACATCACTGACCTGACATGAACTGTCCCTTGAAACCTCAGGTGAATCCTACATCTCTGTTTCGGCTCCATCATCTGTCTTCATTAACTATGGCAGCCTGGTTGTATGGTTTTGTGGTGCGTTTCTGTTAAAATCTGACGACTTAACAAACACCAGAGACAGACAACCATCAACCACAACACAGAACAGAAGTTTGGGTTTGTTTTTACTTCAACAGATTTGTGCATTTTGTCCTGTTTGTGCCGCCACTCTGTAACATTTTGTTGCTCCCTGCAGGTGTAATGAGGAGTGTGCTGCAGGAACCTACGGCCAGGACTGTAAAGGTGTGTGCGACTGTGCTAACGGCGCTCGCTGCTACAACATCGATGGCGCCTGTCTGTGTGAGCCGGGCTTCAGCGGGCCGCACTGCAGGGACCGCATGTGTTCACCTGGCAAATACGGCATGCACTGCGAACGCACATGTCTCTGTCAGGACAAACACACACTCAGGTGAGCAGAGAGGAAGAAGGTCGTGAGTTTGAGCAGCAGGAGGCAGTTTTAAACCAGGTTTGAGTGCTAAACTGCAAGTGAGGTGAACTAAAGGGACTCTGACGTCAGCTCATCAACTGTTCAGAAGCCAGCAGTTCTCAGAAGGTGTCAGGTTTGTTCTGTAATTTAGTAAAGATAGGAAAGTACCACAAAGAAGTTTGCAAGTTTCATCTGGGTTTGATAAATTAATCAAAATGTTATCAAAGCATGGCCTTGTGCAATATCCCCATCACCAGAACTGCAATTTCTTGATAAATGTGTCACAACAGACTGTTGTAAATGAAGCATTGTGGTACAACAGAGATGCTGTGGTCTACATGTTTTGCTGATACTAGGAAACTGTAGAACTGGAAAGTCTAGTGTATGTAAATGCTGCTGAAGTAGAGATTTCTGCTCAGATTTGAGGAAAATGGCCTTTAAAGGTCCCATATTGTGCATCTTTTGAGCAAGTTAAACCAAATGTTACATGTCTACACAGTTTTAGCTTTTCAGGCCAAAAAGCAATAAAGTTGACTTTACCGTATTGAATCTTTAAAGATGCGTTCGTTGTAAAATTCCATAAATTATTGGAAACTGCTTATTTAAAAGAAATCACCGGAAACTGACCCAGTTAATTACTAGCATTAGGACAAATATTTTATGTATGAAAATCTGTATGGAATTTTATGTTAATATATGCAAATGAGCGTGTGCACTAATTTGCATAAATGTCCACCAGACAAAATGTAATAAACATCCAAGTGTGTATTTTTTACAGAGCCCCAGACATGACATGGTCAAGACAATGTTATAGAAAATAACTGACAAAAAAATACATGGTTTGCCTGTAGTGCCTTGCTTTAGAGTTTTGTCATCTCTGGGAAAGCAAAACCTCATGTTCAGGCTTTTAATCTATCCTCCTTCAACAGGTCAAACTACTACTGCTACTACTCGTGACTGCACTTGGGCCTGCATGTAAATTCAATTGAAATATTTTACAACAGTCACAATTGGCATTTGACACGTCAAAAAGCCAAAAACTGTTGGCTAAAATGTTGCTGTTAAGCGTAAGGCGTGGTGCAAACAGAATACCTGCATAGAAGATGATGATAGAATGAGGCAAAGTAACTGTAACATCTCAAGATCTAAAGACTAGCTGTGAAGCTTTGTTCAAGGAAGCACCACATCTGTTACTAGATGTTTTGTACACATGACTTAATGTTCTGCTGAGCCACCGTCCCTGTTATGAGACATGCAGTTTGCCGATTCACAACTTTTAGGCTCAGTGATGACAAGTTTAAAGTACAAACCACAAAAATATTGCATATCTTGTGTTTCTGGCCAGCATCAGTGGTTTGTGTCCATGGCAGAGGGGAGTGAGTGTTCAGAAACACCTTCCATACCAGCAATAAAGCATGAAGCTCATCTTTTTAGTCTTGTCCAAGTACAGTAGGTTTGAAGTCCTGTTGGGCCTGATGGGCTCCTCACTGCTGCCTGAGTCCATAAAAAACAACTTTCTCTGGTTCTCGACTTCACAGAGGACTGAACTTTAGCTGCCTGGTGGCTGGAAAAGAATGAAAATTTTGCTCTATTTTTTATTTATTAATTTTTTTAAACATTTATATTTATTTATGATACTGAAGAAGGTTAGTTAACTAGACGTGAGTCTAGAAGTTACTTAACTAAAGCAGCACAGAGACACACACACAGGTGTCTTTATTTTACCTGATCAGACTCCTCAGGACTGTGGGTGTGTCTCACGGACATTTTCTATTGGTTAAGAGAGTTTGGTGACATGAATTCAACCTGATCTGCCAGAATAATTGAAGTCACCTTTGAATAATAAGAATAAAAATAACAAGAAGAATTTTATTTATATAGCACCTTTTAGAACAGCAAAACAGGGCAAAAAATTAAATAAGGATACTCAGAAGGCCATTGAACAACTGAAGGCAGGTCAGTTCAAACAGAAGAAAAAAGAAAGACCTGGAATGCAAAAAAAAGCAAAAAAAAAAAAAAAAAAGTAAAATAAAAATAAAACATTGGAAAAGATTTTCAAAATTACTCATACAACAACAGTAAATAAAATAGTAAAATACTCCCTCCAAGTAGGGGAAAGAGCAAGTTGAATAAAAGAACATCGAGCCATAAACACAAGGCTAACAATAATAATAGTAGTAATAGCAAATAAATAAAATAAATATGTAAATAAATAAATAAAAGGCAAAGAGAATAAAATAGATAAACAAAGAACATTTTAAAAAATCTAATATATTTTAAAAATCAATAATAACAAAAAAACAGTAATAAAAACAATTAAAAGAAAAATAGATACAAATGTAATGAGATTGTCTAAATTGTCTTGTGAACAAATGAGATCATTTTTAATTTCAGAACATTTTAGCCTGTCAAAAACCTCACCATTAATTAATAATTTTTTTTAAAAAAGTTCTTAGAATACCCTAAAAATAAGACAGGAACACTTTAAGTCCATGTACACATGGTGTAGGTTTCATTCTAGTATTGAGGGGACAATAGTTTGGAGGGTCTGGAAGTTCTTCTTCAGAAAGATTTGAGCATCAAAATCTGAATTCCCTGTATTTTGTTGATTTTTTTGTACACTAAATTCATTTATAATGAAAATTAAGAGAACAGATGACAAATCAAAATATAATGTAATATATATGGATGTAATTACATTTTCCATAATAGAATTAGTGGTTGTATGAGCTCATGATATATATTTTGGGAGCGGAAAACAATTTGACCTAGATGTTGTTTTATTTTTTCTTTAGCAGAGACATTTCTTCTCACAGCTTCGTATTATTTGTGTCTGTTTCTGTTGTCCAGCTGCCACCCAATGAAAGGAGAGTGCACGTGCCAGCCGGGGTGGGCGGGGCTTTACTGCAACGAGACCTGCGCTCACGGTTTCTACGGCCACGGCTGCCTGGAGCCTTGTCTTTGTGTGAACGGAGGTGTGTGTGACGGCGCCACCGGCCGATGCCAGTGTGCCCCCGGCTTCACGGTGAGCAGAAGATCGACTCACCTCTCAGTAGCCGAGTTAAAGAAATCAGGTTTATGAAACCCATGTAGCACCTCTCAGGTTTGATTATTTTTACTGAATATGTCACCTAACCTGTGAGATCTGGGCTTTATTGTTCTTGCCTGCAGGGCATTCACTGTGAGAGTCCCTGTAAAAGTGGCACGTATGGAAAGAACTGCTCCCTGGAGTGCTCCTGTGAGAACTTTGTCGACTGCTCATCGGTCGACGGGACTTGCTTCTGCAAAGAGGGTAAAAAAAAAATTCATTCAGAGTAGTGTTTAAAGATGATCAAAAAGTGAGCAGCTGAGAGAGGTGGAAGTGTCAGTGGAGGAAGCTGGTGAAATTCAGGCTCTCTGTGCTTTGTGTGTGTGCAGGCTGGCGAGGCCTGGACTGCTCCACCCCCTGCTCTGAGGGAACCTGGGGCCCAGGATGCAACGCCACCTGCCACTGCGCCAATGGGGCAAAATGCAACCCTGCAGATGGATCCTGTAGCTGCACGGCCGGCTGGCAGGGGGTGCACTGCGACCAACCGTGCCCGGTAAGTGTTGACATGTATGACCGACCAGAGACAGGAAAGAGTGCTTTTTGGTGACATGTCGGATCTTAATGCAGCAATTTGTTTAATCCAGGACCATTTACTCCTGCGACCTTGAACACAGATGCATAAAATGATGTTACCATAATCTTATATTACACATCACTCTGTACAGACAATACCTTCTACCAGCAGTGGTGCTTTATGACTGTTTTGGTAAAATAGCCTCCAACAGTGATCTGAACAACGCAAACAAAAATCGGATATTTTTCTTGCATTGCATTGTAGTTTACTGAAAACAACTTGTCAGTCCAAAAACATAAATGAAAGGTCAAATTAGATATAAATTGGGAACTTTATTGTGCCTAAGATGCTTGATAAAAGATTAGATTATTATTATTTGTATTAATCACAAATTGAAATCTTATGCCAGATTTTGCTTGGAAAATAACATGAGAATAAATGCAGTGTCTAATAGAAAAGCATTGAAATATAAGTACGACATAGAAAATTGCATTTTGCACATGATAATGAAATATTGCACATAAATTTGAAATATTGCATATTTAAAGTTATTTTTTTGGCCTTTGTGCCTTTATTCAAAAGTGCAGTGAGAGAGAGAGAGACAGGAAAGTGGGGGAGAAGAATAGGGGAAGGGGCCATGAGTGGGATTCGAACTCATGATCTCCACATCGGGACTGTAGCCCTAGACATGGGATGCCAGCTCAACCAGGTGAGCTATGGCGGCACCTCTGAAATATTGCATATTTAAATGAAATATTGCACATAAATTTGAAATAGTGCATATTTAAATGAGGGCTGCAAGGTGGCGCAGTTGGTAGCACTGTTGCCTCGCAGCAAGGGGGTCGCCGGTTCGC